ATTAATTCCAGAAGTGCCAACCACCACTGAACACAATGGAAGCATTTAAATGCATTTTTTTGGTGTTTAAATGCTCTTTTCAATCACGTGTAATTTATTGTTGTTTTTTTTCCCAAATAACCGAAAAATTGTTTTATTTATCATCAGCATTCACATGGCACAAACATAAAGAACCTGAGGAGGGCCAGGGCTATAACTTGGCTGAGGCTTAAAGGAGAAACAAAGCTCACAGAAAACAGGCTGGGCACTTAATCAGTAAAAGAAACAGCACCAAACAATTTTGTGATGAAATTGCACCCCCTGAAGATGCAGCACTGAAGATGCTGATTTCTAAGCCAATGAATGAGGAGGCTTTGAAAATTAATTTCTTTTCCTCATTTTTTCCCCTCCTCTTTTCCAGTGCATTCATATTTCCTTAAATAATTATTTTGATTTACACTTTTGTTTTCCCCCTGACTTTAAAAGCCTGAGATGCATCTTGTGGTAGAGATGCCAGGCAAAGCAATTATCTTGGTATTATATTTAAGCATCACAAAAAGCCTGTTTGGGGAGGGAGGAGGATTGACAACAGTGCTTTTATTAAATTACAAGCTGCTCCCTGCAGAATGGTTGGGAGGCTGGAAGCACTGAGCATTTCTGAGTGAGATTGCCCATTACATGCAGACATTATATACAGGAGATTCTACACATGGACATATGGATATAAACAGATAATTCAGGTCTTTTTGGCTCTTCTGACAGAGAAATATTGTCAGGTAAATATAATATTGCAAAAGGGGCAACACCAACCTCAGAGAGCCCTGAATGCCCTCAGGTGTCTCAGCACAAACACAAGGTCACACCAGCGGCCCCCTGTACATCATCCACCAAGAATTTTGGGGGAAAAAGAACAGAAAAAGCATCCAGGTAGTGCTAAAACATCTCCCCGGTGCCCAGGAATAGGTGGGTTGCTGACTTTCTGTGCCAGACATTGGATCTGCCTGGGGAACCTTCATTGCATAAATTTCCCAGTTCTTTCCTAAATACTTTACACTTTTGGCCACTGCAGCAGCATGTGCCCATAAATCCTACAGTTTTATTATGGGCTCTGTGGAAAAGAAGAAATCTCTGTTTTCTGTCTGTATCTGCTCTTCATACAGGATGCTGGCACAGCTGCAGAGAGCAAAACAGGAGAGGTGAAATCACAGGTGAGCAAGTGAACGCCACCAGCTTTCCACCTCCTGCAGCATCAACTCTTATCAATCCCTGAATAAAGGTCCTGTGAGGGCTTTAATTACTGAAATCTAGGGGAAAAATGTGCTGTCTTCAAAGGACAGCTCTGCCAGGTTCTCCTGTCCCAGGGACAGGGTTTGCACTGAGCCATCACAGCCACAGCCGGCTGGGCAAGCAGCTCCTCCTGCTCCTTCCTCAGCAGCAGCGCCCTGTCCTTGCTCTGCAGCAGGGGAGAGAGGAAGGGCTGCCAGTTCTTGGCTCCTTTTTTCTACCTCTGCCTCAGGATTGAAGGTCTCCAGATGATATTTTGTGTTTATTATTTCTTGTCTATATTACAAGTCCTGAGTTCTACTAACAAGCTACAAAATGGCCAACTATCTGCCTATACAAGGTGTTTTAAGGCTAAACTGTCCAATCAAGAAATGACACCTAAATTATTTTCACTTTTAACCCAATAACCAATCACACAAAGTCTGCACTATGGACTTTTCTATCCAATTACACAAAACCACCCAAACCCATGGAGAAGGTGAGGAACAACCAGCCACCACCCTAAGACCCTAAAATCCCCAAACCTCCATCTTTTCCCATATATATTACTCCATTCTAAAACCCCAAACTCTAAGTTCTCCACTCTGTGATATCACACACTTCCAATCAAACTCCACACCCACAATCCCAGTGCTACCAATCAATTTTGGAAGCTTTCTCCACACCCTCAGGTCAAATATTTTCAGTATTTTCTTGTGGGTTCAGTGCCCTTCAGCACAGAAAGTTGAAAATCCTAAGCATCCAGGATTCCAACAAAGGACTAAACCAAATCACAGGAGAAGGGCAAAGCTACCCAAGGAGGGAAACAAGGAGGAGAGAGGAATATCAGCCATGCCAGCAAATCAGTGAAGCATATGGAAACTGCATTTAAGGCATAAAGGGTGTGTAAGGAGCTGATATAACCAGATGGCTAAAGAGCAAGGAGGGAGCAATTCCAGAAATTGTGAGGGAAACAGAGAACAGAGGAAGAAATTAAGGATTACCAACTTCATACTGAAAAGGGCATGGAGAATTTAAAAGGAAAACTACAGCAGTAGTGGTGAAATTTTTTTTTGTACAAAGTGAAAAAACACATCAGCAGATGTGAGAACTGAGGCAGGAATTTGCCTTTCTCACCTGCAGAGAGATACCAGTGCTGAGGAGATCCCACAGATGAGGCAGAAGGGTCCAGGGGGGCAGAATCATGGACAGGACAGCTCTGGGGTGAGGTGCATGTTTCAGTCCTTAGAGCTGGGTTCCTCAGACACCAAATTAAATATTTTTGTGTGCATTCATTAATCAATTTCAATAGAAATATTGCTATCCATTCTTTGTCTCTGACAGATATTTGTGTGATTCTAGCCAGCAACAAGGTCCTGATCTAGCTACAGACAGCTGCAGGTCCCAATAAAACAAGTATTGGAGTACCCAGTCTTAAAAAATAAAACTTAAAATGAAAGTACATGTATTTCTTGATAAATAAATGTAGCACTTAAATCACTCAATTGCACACAGAATTTTCTCATTGCTTTGGATTTATTCACCTCCTTGTCAGCTGGCTTCAGAAAAATAACCTTTAACAACACCATGCAAGGGCTTCACAAGGAAGGAAGGAAATGCTAATTGGTTTTATCCTTTCGTGAAACAATCCATCCAAAGTTAATTAGAATGGGTTTACTTTTTCTTCACTGAAATAATCCATAGGAAAGACTGATGGGCAGAGCAAGCTGAGTCCTGCACAAAGGTGCAGGATTTAAGTGATTCTGAGCTGTGCTCCCAGAACTCTGCAACCTTCAGGCATCTCTCTGGTCTTTCTCTGTGGATGGCATAATTAAGCTTTGAGTGAAAACCCCAGAGGTGAGGCCTGATAATAAGTTAATCTTGTGGGCACCTCGTGGGCCCGGAGAGATGTGCCCCAAAAGCCCAATTAGCAAAGGCTTCCTGTCCCAGGCTGTGCCACAGCCTTGCTCAGAGCTGAGAAAAGCTGAGGAGCAGCAGCTCGGGGCTCGAGCAGCCCCTCACTCCTCGCAGTGTGAGGAGCACCTGCACTTTGTGCCCATCTCACTTCTCCTGGTGACCTTCACACTCCCAGAGTGGCTTTTAAACGCCACAGATTCACACATTGCTCTGCAAACAGGATTTACCTCAGAGCCTGCTGGCTACAGACAGAGCCAAGGCTTTTTTGGGGAGCCCCACAGAGGGGACCCATCCACAGAACCCCACCCCAGGTTTCCTGGACCCTCTGACTGAGGCCAATTTGTGTGAAAGCAAACAGAATTTGTGTGAAATCTGTGCCATCCCAACTGCAGAACCCAAAAGCATTACAGCAAGCCCATGCATGAGCAAAGCGTGATAAGGTTTGATAAGGTTTGATTAATGATAAGGTCTGATTTCCCGTCATCTGTAAAGAGCAAAGGGAAAAGTTCTTGGCTGTTGGAAAAGCACTGCAGATGTGGAAAAGAGACCTCTGCTTTACAAGCTAGAGGTCCTTTTTCTATGGAAAGAAAGCATTTCCCTAACAGCCAAAGGAATGTTGAGGCACAGCATCCATGGACCCCACAAATTTCCCTTTCCATCCAGAGATATTAAAGAGCAAATCTCAGTTTTGAGAGGGATGCAGGTCATGGAAAGTGCTGCTGAAAAACTGAAGTGGTTTCTCCAGCCCAAGTGACTGTAGCATGACTATGATGGAAGGAGTTAATAGACACTGAAATTGTTTTATTAAGTAGATTTGCCAGAATTTACTGATTATCAAACCTCATTAGCCGAGGACTTGTACTCCATGTTCTTCCCCAGTTGCTGCCTGCTGCCTGCTGGATACACGGAGGGATGCTGGAGAGATTATTGCTAAGCCCTTCCCCCTTCCCTCTCCCCTCCTCTTCCAGGACCACATCGACAGTCCCGGGGGAAGAGAGGAGGGACAGGGCGAGGGCAGGGAGGAGAGGAGGGACAGGGAGAGGGCAGCATCCACCCGCTCTCCCTCAGCATCCTCCACCAGCACAGCCCAGCAGAGCATCTGCAGCTCAGGACACCTTTGGGAGGATCCCTTAGCACAAACATATGTTACATCCACACGCACGGCTGCTTTCCCCTTCCAGGAAAGAGGAGAAGGAGGAAGAGGGAAGAGCTCCGGAGGGCTCCAGGGATTTTCCATGTGAGCAGAGCCGGACGATGCCCCCGGGAGCCGCTGCCGGGTGCGGCAGGTGAGCATCACCTGCGGGGCAGCCCCGCTCCCGCCTGCTCCGCCGGTAAGAAACTTTCCTTGCAGTTTGCACTTCGCTATCTTGGGGTAAAAAATGGGTTTTTAATCTCTAGGGACTGTAGGCAAAACCAGGGGTTTGTCCCTGAAAGGAGGAGCAGAGTGACAAATTCTCCGAGTTGAGAAAACACTTTCGCCTGCTTATAACAAAGTTTTCTCCGCGGTGGGCAAAGATTCCCCTCTAACTTCTCAGTAATTTGGCACGAGGTGGGATTGATCAGAACAGGCATGGTTTAGACAGAATTTAAGGCATTTTTAAATCCCCCCGAGAGGCAGAACGGGCGTGCAGCAAGAGCAGAGGAATCCCGATGTGAGCAGTCCCGTTAAAGCAATTAGAACTTCGCTTCCAGCTGATGGCAGGTAATTGCCCACTCTGTCGCTAATAACTATTAAGCAGCTTAGTTGAGTTAGCCCGTGGTTAGGGGTTTATAGAAATAAGAAAGCGAAGCGACAACGACCAGAAAATAAGGATAAAATAAGGATGTAACGGTGCCCAGACCTGCTCGGAGAGGAGCCCGAGGTGTTCCCGTTCGGATTTGCAGCTCCCGAGGCTCGGTGATAATTATGAATGAGGCTGGAGCTGCGCTCCGTGCCTGTGTTGCCAGACAACCAATGAGGCAGCAAAGCAAAGCTCATTCACGGGCTGCAGGCTTCAGGAAGAGGCACAGAGGTGACTTTTACTTACCAAACAGGCTCTCATTGATTTCCTGATTGAGGAAAGTGGCTGGAGGCACCTTTTCTCTGGCAGTAACCCCTGCTATGTTTTCTCCTCCTCGCTGTGCCCTCTGGCTGACAGATCCCCCTGCTCTGATGCCGCTCTGGATGTCCCGGTGAGAACTCTTAGAGATGCCTATTCTCTCCAGAGGCAGTGACCAAGACTATAGCAACATTAGCTACAACTCCTGCAATTCCTTGAGCCACTTGTTTCCCATCTGCGTGGAAACCCCTTCTGTCAAGGGGGTCCATTACCAGAGAGCCAGGAGGATTTACCACCCTGACCAAGTGTCTGCAGTCGACCTGAAGACAGAGATCATGATCAACGTTGGGGGCATCAAATACCTGCTGCCTTGGAGTACTTTGGACGAGTTTCCCCTGACCAGACTGAGCAAACTGAAGCTTTGCAGCAGCTATGAAGAAATCATCCAGCTGTGTGACGATTACGATGAGGACACCCACGAGTTCTTCTTTGACAGGAACCCCAACGCTTTCGGGATGATTGTCAGCTTCCTCGCAGCAGGGAAGCTGATGCTCTTGAGAGACATGTGTGCCTTGTCTTTCCAGGAGGAGCTCAGGTACTGGGGCATTGAGGAATCCAACCTGGAGAACTGCTGCTTTCGGAAACTCTTCCAGAAGCTGCAGGAGCTGGCTGAGATCCGCAAAGAAGAGGAGCTCCGGAGGAGCAAGGAGGCTTCGTGTGTCTTGGATGAGAAAACCAGGTTTGGGCAGTTCATGAACAGACTCAGAGATATGGTGGAAAATCCCCAGTCAGGACTGCCAGGCAAAGTCTTTGCTTGTCTCTCCATCCTCTTTGTGGCCACCACAGCTGTCAGCCTTTGCGTGAGCACAATGCCAGACTTGAGAGCTGAAGAAGACAGGGTAAGTCAGTTCTTCTTAACTGGTCTAACCACAGAACTGGGACAGAAAACACAGCTATGGCTCAAATTAGTTCCATCATGTTCCCATGAATAATGGGAACAAATATTATACTGGTTTTTAGCTAGAATACAAGAATGCTTTTGGACAGAGCAGATATTTCAGCTCTCCAGTACAGGGTGTTTTTCTCTTCTTGAGAAGCAGCTGCTGGGTAAGATTAAGTTGTTAGCACTGACTCTCAAACTGACATCGTGGAGTTTTCAAGATGCTTCACTCTCTATTTACAGGCAATCTCTCCTTTGGACACATCAGCTACAGAAATATTTTCCTCTGACATCTTTACTTTTAAAACAGCTGGGTATCTTCCCTTGTGATAAAGCTGTCAGATGCTTAAAGAGGGAGAAATATTCATTAATTTTTATATGTTACATTTCAGTAGCTGCATAAAGATTGAAGGATGAGAGGCAGATGAAGTATTTTTGCACATACTGGTACATAAAAGCTGTGCCTCCCAAAAAATCATAATTCCATGCTAAGAGAATTCTGTGTTTGTCCCATATATGTGTACATATTGTAGGAGCAATACCAAGCACTATCTGAACTGCAAACTGCACTTAAACCCTTCTCAAAAAACTCATCCACATTAATTCAGGGCAAATAAATCAAGCCTGTATGACACATGAAGGATCTTCTCTGTAACATTACTGTAAATATTTCAGTATTTAAAAGATTTATTTTTGTAATAATAGACCAGAGGAAAAGTGAGAATCCAAAGTTATTTCAGATGTGGTAACGTCCAAATTCATCAAATAACCTTGACTAATCTCTGTAATGAATCCTGCACTTCATTTGCAAATTGCCCTTCCAAAAGTGCTGAGGAAATCTGTGTCAAATGAACTCCCTGCCCCAACCCTGCTGTAAGACAAGACACTCCTCAGAGTGTCACATATTGATGGATAAAGTCATTTTTACATTTACAGCACAGCCTGGTGTGCACAAGACAAAAACCTGTATCTATTTTACTGGTCAAAGCAGCCTTGTCATGGTTAAAATACACCCTGATATTTGATGTCTTTGGATAAAACTGAGGACGGCACAGGAGGCTGAAATTTAAGGTAATTCCCTGATCCTTTTTAACCCCTTGAATAATAACTTCCATTTGCCAAGGGAGGCTCCAGCCTGTCAGGAATAAGCCTGGCGCTCTTGCAGCCTTCCCCAGCTATTCTATTACTTTTTGGCTGAAAAAGAAAAAACTGTTTTCACAGCAAAAGCTGTTAACACTGTTCCAATGCTTCTTCCAAGGATGTACTTTAAATATAGAACATCCTTCTTCCAGCTCGATGTACAAACATTACAAACTCTGCTCCAGCAAGTGCTTCCTACTAACTTTGTTAATGGAAGCGCCTTTTTATCTTCATTTCCCAACCACTGCAGGAAAAGCTTTGATAAATAAATCCCATGTAAAGGGCCCAGCACATGAGCAGAGCTCTGCTGGATGTAAGGGGTTGTGTGTTTTAAAAAATAAATTACTGAGTTAGAAAGAAAAGCATGCTGAGGGTTATAAGTGCGTCTGGGAGCTGCAGTGAAGTTGCTGTTCCTGGATTTCCTATAAAACAAGGATGACATTACTTCTTAGAGATTTGTATACATACCAGCACTTTAAAAACAAGCAAACTGCATTAAAACAAGCTCAAAAGATGGATTGTTGGAAGTGCAGGGGAGAGGATGAAGGATGAACTTGAGGAAAGGACCACATTTGTCCAAATGTTTGGAAACATTCCATAATTTACACTTACACCACCAGCCCAATGCACTTTGTTATTGTGCCCCAGAATACAGAGTATTAAAAGTCCCTTTCTATGAATTATGTGATGTTCTGCCATAGGAAAAATAGGGGAATATATGAGACAAAATACTCATGCCTTGTGGAAAAGCAGAAAATCTGAACTACTAGCAAGCAGTTTTGGCATCCCTTAAATTTCCATCCCTAAATTCTTAGCCTGTAACAATTAAAATTTCCTTACTGGCATCTCAAAAGAGCATTCTAAGTAGAGCTGGACAAATAGCTCCATGAAGTTAATTGACTCAAATTAGGAGTTCTTGGCTGCAGCTGAGTCATACTTAGCAAAATCAACTCTCTGTTGATTTGTAACTCAGAGCAGACCTCAGAGAGTGATTCCAAGATGGGGCCACCTTTACCAGCAACCTGAAACAAGCATGCAGGACCTGGAATTTTTCCTTTTAGGGCTGATATTGATATTGATATGGTTCAATATCATTGATATTGAAGATGGTTCAATATCTGTTTGCTCAGTGACAGAAAACATTCAAATTCAAATTCATTCACAAAGTTTCTAAACAACCTGAAATTCCACTCTTGAATTCAAAGATTATTGTGAGGTTTAATCAGTTCTGAGTTAAAGCTTGGCAAAAGCTCTGAGGTAAATATCCTTAAAATTACTGCAAGGATCCATTTCCCAATGTCACTAACACTGGAAATTGAATTTATCCATATTAACCATTCTGAAAAACAGACAAAAAAGGCTTTACCTCTGCTGCATGTGTACCACTCTAGGGTCTTGTTGCTTCTCACCACAGCCACATTAAGAGAGTGAAAACTGGATGGACTCCAGAGTAAAAAAAAAAAAAAAGCCTAAAAAAAATAGAAAAAAAAAAGGGAAAATAATGCAAGGTGACTTCCACTTGACTCAGTTGGCTCAGAGGCTGCTGATCCCACCCTGCAGGCACAGCAGATCCCTGGTCCTGGCAGCAGCTGCTGAGCCAGGTCTGCTCAGAAGGGAGGAAAGAGCAGGCAGAAGAGCAGCCAGGAGTCCTCAGCGTGCTCGGGAAAGTGAAAACTCGGCTCTGTCTCCGCGAGAGGGATGGCAGGGAGCCAGGAGAGAGCATCTGCATCAGGGAAACCCAGTCACCCTGGCAACCCGAGGGGAGGGAAGGAGCCAGCGCCAGGGGCAGCACAGGGGATGGATGGCAGGGGGAGCCTGGGGTCGGGGATGCAGCTGACAGAGAAATAAAGGAGGAGTTGTTATCACTGACATGCTCCAGAATGTGCCAAATGACATTTAGGAACCTCCTCATAAAAAAAAAAAAAACCCACCCAGATTTGGGCAAACATTTATGTCACATATGGACATGATGGGAATGCCAACCCAGAGAGAGCAGTCCCAGGTGAAGGGTGAGCAAAAAGTTCAGCAAAAATGTGGATTAGTAAAGGAACAGCTCTGGTGAGATCAAGTTTGAGTCTGACCATGAAATAAATATACAAAAGGTTTTGTTATTTGTGAGGCTAAGGAGAGAGGAGTCAGCAGGAACAAGGTTATCTTAGTTAGGAATAAAACAACAGAATTATCACATTTTCCAGTGGAAATATATCCTAGTCCATGGTATTTGCATCAGTTCTTTTTGGAGCTGTTTTTACCAAACAGTTTTTACCAAACTGTCTTTTGTAAAAAACAGATTTAATATCATCAATGTGCAGTAATCAAGGCATGTAGAGATAGGAAAAAAGGCATATTTAGAGGTGAGAAAATCTGTTATTGATCTGAACAGGCAGCCTGAGAGAACTGCAAATCTGAACTGGAGACCAAGCACACAGGGTAGGAAAGCTGAAGTGACAAAATTCACCAGTGTTACCCTCGAATGAAGAAATTCAGATCATCCCACTAGAGACAGGACAGAAGTCCCATCAGAGCCCTCCAAAAGTCCCAGTCCCACATAAGAGTGACCATCTAAGAGGGGTCACTGAAGCAGCACATCCAACAGCTCAGCACATCCAACCCAAAAGGAAAAAAAACATCATTACACCAGAAAACTCTGAGATAAAATCACTGCAGAGGGACCTGGAGAGGGAGAACACTTTGAAGTACTCTTGGGACTTTCCTTGGGATGAGATGTTCCATTTAATGAGTCCCTAAAAGTGGCATCCTCTGGAGAAATGACTCAGCAGAAAGGCTCCAGCAAGGTCTGTCCTTCAGGAAGGCAGCAAATTAAGGTCAGGGGGGAGCAAACCCACAGATATTTCCATTCCCTGACCTTGTTACTACTAATTATTGTGTTTGCTCTTAACTGACCTTGAGAAGTTTGGAGTTGCTTTAGGTATTTTATAGGACTTAATGAAACAAAATCATCATTATTTACAACCATCATTGTTGCTTGTGAAGCTTTTATCATGAAACACAGAATACTCATTTTAAAAACCTTCTTTTCCTGGGATCATTTGATTATATGAAAATCA